GGAAATTCAAGGCAGGGGACCCAGCAGCAAGTGTCTGGGGCACCTGAGCTAGAAGTCCTGTACCAGGAGAGAGCCTGGGTTTGTACCAAACCTCCCCAGTGGGAGGAGGAATGGAGGATGGAGGAAACTCCACTGCATCCACATGATTTTCCAGAGCAGGGCAGGATGACGGAGGTGAGGGCAAAGATTTTCTGTGAATTTATCTGATTGCATTTATCAGTGATACCTTCAGAAGTGAATCTGAGAAGAAATTTGGACCAAAACCGCTAAAGGGATAACATTACTCAAGTCTTCCAGTCATCGCTGTATTGAGAACTGCTTGGGATCCATACCCCGGACATGGCAACCGTTGCTCATCGGTGTCTCACCCGTCCTTTGCTCGCAGCTGCACAAACCTGCAGGCAGCTCCCATCGGCGCCGTTCCCGTGGAGGAGAAGGTGTGGCCAACGTCAGAAGTCCTCTGTGCTACACAGCAACTGCGATTTCAGAACAATGCATCATCCCAGAACAGATGTATTTAGTTGGCATGGAAACAGCAAGTTAGGCTGAACGTGGTAAATATCCAGCAGTCATAAAAAACTGAGCAAGTCCCAGTAATAAACATTAAAAAATGAAAAGTCGCTGGATGCTTTTGAATCAGAGCTCTTCTACAATTATCACTCCTGTTCTCATCTGAACATGAGCGAAAGCCACTTAACAAACTAAGCTGCCCCATTTAATTCCAAATACTTCTACAACATCCTTATTCAGATAACTCCTTTCTCCCTTTTTTATAATCTATTTGAGAAAAAGAAATTAAAGGGCTGGAAACCTACATTGGTATTCTCCTTCATTTCCTCAGCAATATTCATGAATTGAACATAATTGATTTTCTGTCTTCAGAGGATCTCTCTCCTTTAAGAGTCTATTTGGGACCTGACAGCTTGGAGGAGTATTCCTATAGTGTGAGTATCTATAGTGATGCTACTTCAGTTGTTTGAGGACATGAGGGACGTTTTTCCCTCTATTATCCCCAATTAGAAATTTTACATCATACTCAATCCGCCCCTATAGTTAAAGGCATTAGAACAAGAAATGAAATCAATATGGGGTTTTTTACTGAAAAAATTCCTGCGTGTAATTATCAAAAGAGAGATTCTTGGAGCTTTTTAGTATACTGAGTTGGAACGATTACCCTTACAAAAAGGAATCTGAAGTGAAATGAGGTATTCTAAAGAAATCTAGGTAATAAAGCAAGAAGATCACTACCACTGATTTTTAAACAGGCTTCAGTTCAGCAAAATTTGTTGCACATGCCTAAATTCCCAGATTCATTAAGGCACAGGCTTAAGCTCCCAGTGATGTGCGTCATTTTTAATTACACATCCACAGGATGTAAAGTCTGCTGTATGAACAATTTGGGTGTTTTAACTATGACTGACAACTGCACAAAGCCACATGACTCAGGAAAGAGAAACATTTTTAGTAGAATGAAAGGTCTTTCTATCAGAAATCCTGTCTTACATCAGATCTAGACATGTATCGGAGATTTGGTACAAGAGGCTGCGATACAGAGCATACCCTAAATGGGATTAGTTGACGGGAAGCCGGTTCCCAGAGTTACACAGTACTGAGATATAATAAACTCCAGCATTGCTTTGCAAGGAAAAGGTCTGGATGCACCCAAATTTGCTAGGAACATTCCCAGACTGCTTTAACTGTCCTGGGACTATACATCAGAAAAACTATGTATTAAAAAATGTATCTTAAATGTCAGTTACACTTTATAGTTTGCCACTTTCCATGAATGCAGTTACACATGTGTCAAGAAGTCAGACATGTAATTTTTGGAGGAAACATCCAGCCTTTTGCTCTGAAGGAAGGTGATACTGTTTTGAGACTTCAATCTACATGTGTAGCATTACTGAACACATGGACCATCGTTCTAGACAGCCATGCTTGGCTGAGACAGGACAATCTTTACAGAAACTGAGACAACCTTGATGGGAAAGACAAAATTATTCACGTTAGTCCAAGTGGGAGAAGTTCACAGGCACTTCTGACCAACATAGATTCATCTGGATGGGAACGCATCCTTCAGATAACGTTGCCATAACACAGCACTGATGAAACAACACAGATCCACCGTGATTGCATCTACTTACACCATAAAGAGGGTTGAAAAAGTGAACAGGAGTAAACACAAGTTCACACAAGAACATGAAGTATTGAAAAAGCTCCGTGAAAACAACAGCTCATCTTCAACTGCAGCCCCACGCTCGCCTCCAGACACCTCAGGGCTTGCCACCAGAGTCCTCCTGACACATTTCCCCCTTATTTATAGGATAGTTTGTCTGTCTGGATAATCATAATAAGGAAAGGTTAACTCTGTGTGATCACCAGAGGGTTACTGTAACCAAGAGTTAAGGTTTGCGAATCTGTCGGTCCCTCTTGGAGACTCAAGAGTTATAAGGACATTGCACTGGAAAAAGACAGACATGGAGCACTAAGATACCACCCAACAAGCCATAACGAGAAACAGCTCTTTCTTTTTAATTAAAAGCACAACAAAATGTTTTTTCATGTCTCATTCATTTGTTTGTTGTTGTTATAGAATCAAAACACAAGATTTTTCCTTTTAATGAAAAACAGAAGCTGTTTAACCCTCTCTCCTCCTTATTTATAGACATGTAAAAGCTCGGAAAAGCGGCCTTTGTAATAGTGCCAGCGCAAATGCCGATGTTTTATGCAATTCTGATTCCGACAATATTTGGTAAAAGCAGAAAGCGAGTTCTAAATTACTGCCTTAAATATTTCAACTCCCCAATCAACTGATGAGTCGTTAGCTACTGTTAATGCTTGATGAGCATCTTTACAGGTAGCCTGGCCACGACATAATAAATGGAAATACATCAGAGCTGCCATTTTTGCCTTTTTCTTTTGGAGAGAGAAGCATAACGAATGGATTAACCAGCCACTGAGAAGGCACTCTAAAAACTTCCAAAGTGTTTATCTGCAAAAACATCCTCAACGGCAGAGACAAGACCATCGATGACCTCAGATACGAGCGTTAAGTCTGCTAACACATCGCCACCTTGCAGGAAACGCTCTCAGCTGGACGGTGCAGTGCCATTTAAATAACATTTCTGTTCCACTTATCCTGTGGAAATGGGCGTTACCAGCTGAGCAGAGCTTCACTAATTTAGTGTGGGCAGGACAGTCCCGTGGGTTGGTTTGGACCAGGTGCTCATGGGAGACAACCTTGAAGGGAGAAACGGGGGACCATCCTGTGAATCTGCATGTCGAGCCTTCTACCTCTCTATTTCGCAAGTCATTTTTTGTTCCTTCTTCTGGATCCCCTCTCAAAATGGGTCAGAAAAAAAGCAAAGTGGCCATGGCAAAGATTAAATTAACAAATGACAAAAATGGGAGATTTGGAAGAGGACTCTCATAGTGTGCAGGCCAGTGCTGCTCTCTGGGAGGGACAACCATGCACCAAATAGCTTATTTTCCTCCTTCTCTTCCAGGAGACTCTTTGAAGCCAAAATGCAATGTTTGTAGGCCAACTCCCTCATTACACCAAATTACACCACTGCAGCTAAGGGTGAACCTGGCCCAACATCCAGATTTGGGTTCACACAGAATCACACAGAACGTTAGGGATTGGAAGGGACCTCCAAAGCTCATCCAGTCCAATCCCCCTGCCGGAGCAGGAACACCCAGATGAGGTTACACAGGAAGGCGTCCAGGCGGGTTTTGAATGTCTCCAGAGAAGGAGACTCCACAACCTCTCTGGGCAGCCTGGTCCAGGGCTCTGTCACCCTCACTGAGAAGAAGTTTCTTCTCAAATTTCAGTGGAACCTCCTGTGTTCCAGCTTGTGTCCGTTACCCCTTGTCCTATCATTGTTTGTCACCGAGAAGAGCCTGGCTCCATCCTCATGACACTCACCCTTTAAATATTTATAAACATGAATGAGGTCTCCCCTCAGTCTCCTCTTCTGCAAACTAAAGAGACCCAGCTCCCCCAGCCGCTCCTCAGAAGGGAGATGCTCCACTCCCTTGATCATCTTTGTAGCCCTACGCTGGACTCTCTCCAGCAGTTCCTGTGCTTCTTGAACTGAGGGATGCAGGGGGGAGAGAGCAGAAGAGCTCATCACTGACTCCTGAGAGGAAACACATGAACGTAACACCAAGGGTGAATGAAGGTTCCCATGAGCAAGTAGGAACACAACAACTGGGGAAAAATATTTGAAATTAATGATTATTACTCTTCTACAACCGCCCCAACTTACTATTCCTGCAAGTATAGATTGAGAAATAATTTACATAGGATGTATGTTATGGATACAGTTTACTCAGCACCAAATAAAGTTCTCAAATGGTGCAAAAAGTGATTTGAATTAGAAATCTGTAAATTTGTATGTGATTCAGATATCCACCACCTGCATATTATCCTAAATACTTCAACTTAATCTGGTTTCAATGCAGATTGTTGGCTTCCTGTATCAATACCAGCCTGTAAACTACACATACATTATTTTGCTTGAAGCACAGTAAATCTCTGATTTCATTGAAAGTGTCCAGAATAATTTTAGCAGTATCAATCACATGGATGTTGTTTACAGACAACATGCCTGGACAATGAATACATAAGATCAGGAATAAAGATTATTTTTAACTTAGTTATTGTCCAATTATAATTCTCTTAATACAAGCCATTAAGCAACAGGTTCGAATAGTCTCAGAAACCTCTGTTAAAACAGTATAGTCAGTTCAAAATAAATGCATCACTTAACAGCTAGAACAGTGAAAATACCAACATGAAATAGAGAGCATGAGATAAGTATTTGCCTGTAGGGTTCAGACAGTTTAATTCTCTTTTATTACCAGCAAACAGAAAAGAAAGCTAGCAGAAAATTTTGTAGGAAAATATGTGCTCTTGCTTTGAAGCGAGAGATTATTTCTACCCATCGAACCTGCTTGCCCAAGGGAAAAGGATCTGGGGGGACAGCACCCGGTACCTGCTCGTGGGTCTCCAGCTCCCTGCGCTGTAGCTTCTTCTCCACAGCCTGCGCCTGACGCTGGTAAATTTCCACTTCATGTTGGAGGGCCTGAAACGATACCAACGGATGCAAAACACTCGTGAGAAACACGGGATGGCTGAAAAATGTATGGGTAATGTTGTTTAATGAGCTGATGAAGAAAACGGTGCAGCACCAGTGTGGTTCTTCAGGTGCGGCTGCTTCCAGCCGTACACGATGGGGGCTGAGGGGTGACAGACCCAGGTGGGCCACCCTTAGTGAGCGAAGTTATTCTGGACAGGTAGGACCATGGATTGAACAGGAGTAGTTGAGTCTGAGTAGGTCTTACTATAGGTTACAAGTATTCATACTAAAAATGTAACAAATATCCTCAAAGATCGAAAGGGAAATGGAGATGTTGCAATTGCAGCGACTGCAAATGTCTCTGGTTTTTGTTATCACCTGATTTGTACAACCTGTGCTTCCTAGGAGCACTTTCGCAGTGTACCAATAACTTTGCCTTTAAGCCAGAAGAATAATCCTGGAAAACCATGTCTGGAATTTGCAGTGAAAATGTATCCCACATTACTGAAACGGGATGCTCGCCGAGATGAAGGGCTCGCCTCCCACCCTGCAGTAAAGTCTACATGTGATCTACAAATGAAGTAGAAATGGCAATAAATAAAAGGACTATGATGATCATGTCACACTACTGCAACTATCCAGTCTTTCTTTAGTTCAGGAATAACCACGTCTAAACACAGGCTCATAAAATGCACTGACAAATTTATTTTGTCATTCTTGTTCTTCTTATATATTTATTTTTATGACGGCTCCCTCAGAGCCTTGATCTTTTTGTTATACCCTTAACAAAGGAACAGTGGTGCCCCGAGGAACTGATAGCCCATGTTATTTCTAACAGATACACACCAAACAAACAATACAAACTTCCAAGGATTTTTTTTTTTCAAGTTTCCTACTCATTGTTGAGTGTTTGAATACTCACTTAACATTTACTCACACATTTACTAAAAGCTTAGTTACGTTGTCAGCTTGAATAAAGGCATTGTTAACCGCGGGTGCTGACTTGAAGAGAAGTGCACAATGTGGACGGCAGATTGACACCGACACAGAGGCGGCTGTGGCAGCAGAAAGGGAATATTTTGAGTTATCTTTTGTATGTCAGGAAATCAGGGCATTGCTGCCCATCAGCTGAAAAGTGCGGCGCAGACTCAGGACTGGACCTGGGAAGGGATTTGCACTGGAGTTACACCATAAAATGACACTGAAGATGCCTCCAGTGCTGCTTTTTAAAAAGCTGAGCTGCACAGAGATGTTCTGGAAATGGGGACCAACACGTCCATGGTGGGCTTTGCAGAACACGCAATGCACTCAACGTTTGCTTCCTCCAAGTAGAAAACCTGTACATAAACCAGGAGCATTGAAAGTACTCGCAGTACAAAGATTTAACAGAAAAAAACCCCCTTGCTCTTTTCCACAGCAGTGAAATACTGTAGTCTCCAATCATTTACAGGATAAAATTGCTATTGAGATAAGATAAGAGGACTACTTATGATAGATCTTGCACGTTGTTTTGAAGTGATGCCAGGCATTAACTTTAAAGTCTTATAGCAATAAGACTATTAGATGTTCCGATGCCAAAAAATTTAACCAGACCCAAGCATGAACTTCAAATCTGCCCAGGGACTTTTCTGCTATCACCGCTTCTGAGAAATGTTGAAATCCAGGCTTTGAATACATAACCAGCCTTCAGTACTCAACAAGTCCTGCAGCACCAGGCATTTGCATTAATATAATGAAATAGACGTGTGAACTGTAAGCTCTTTGTACACTTAATTTTGCAAGGTAAAACACAAACAAGCACACTTTGATTTAAAAGCTAAAATGATCGGGTCATGCAATGTAGAAACGTCACGAGGAGCAGAGCTGCTCCATGAATCAGAAAGATGGCCAAAGACCCCATTAATTTGAGAAAAGTCCTGCCATAACTCCAAAGTGTCCAGACATAACCAGGACAGGAACATTCACAGAGCACGTTTTAGATAAGCTACGATGTATGAGCCAGCTTCTGCTACTTCCACAGCAAATTGCTTGGCACGGTGAAAAATAAGGAGGGAGGAAACCTTGCTGCACATCAGTCCTCCTACCTGGCCTCTTTCCCATGACTCTGAAGATGGTCAAGAATGTACAGAAATACATAATATATATGTACACACACATAAATATATCTGTGTATATAAATATATCTATGTATGTATGCATTTGTCACAGATTTATATCACGCTCCATCACACAGATCTGCAAGTACCAAACACAAAACAGGATCTCAAATGGTTCCTGGTAATGACAGCAACCACACAGTGGCAAAGAGGAGAATTGGCAGCTGCTGTTTCCTTCCTTAATTTCTCCATTTTTAGTTTTCTTAAGTACAACAAACAAGCATACTTTGCAGAGCAGAAAACAAGAAGTTCCTTTAAATCTGACGGTTTGCAATGCATCTTAAAGTAATTTAACTTGGGAAATTCAGATGACATGCAGTCTTTGTTAGGTCTATCTACTCCAGGTAGTGTTTGTGAGTGTGGAGCGCACGTATTTTGTTTCATTACGAGAGCAGAAAATGTCTTAAATAAGTCCAATTTAGAAAGAAGGTATTTTTACTACAGCATGTAGGTGTAACAAACTACGTCTTATAATTATCCATCCACCGGCTGTCCAAACCAGAATATACTGTATGAGTTTATGGACTTTTCCAATCACATCACAACTGGCTGTTGGTACATTCTGTATTGGGATGGCAGCAAAAAATGACTTAACTCCTCTGATCCATCGTAACCACCTCTAACTTGACCGTTTTTGGACTACTGCTGTGTTGCATATCCCTGCTCCTACCGGTGACAATGTGGAATCTAGCTTTGTGTATAAAGGATGTCCCATGAGTAATTCAGTGTTCGTTCGGGTATTTCAGCTTTCCTATCAGCACAAGGACAAAAAAAGTAAAACCAAAAGATCGGGGTTTGATCAAAGCCACGCCGAAGGAAAAAAAGCAACATCAAAATCCTATGGTTGCTGTAGTTTCCTGCATATAATTAGCTCTGAAAATAGTAATTAGAAGCAAGCTTGTTGCCCATGATTTTAATTTTCTAGGAGGAATCATGATGGATGTCATGAATAATGCGCCCTTTTGAAGATCACACTGAAAATTCTCTCTATTGTCAAAAAGCTGCGTATGGAGTGGCCAGAGCCTGAATGCTGATGGCTGTTTCTGAAGCTACCAGTACCTCGAATCTTTTTCTGCACCTAACAGAGAAGCTTTTGTATGCAAAATACTCCCAAAAACAGTAGACACTTAGTGCAGGTACACCACAGAACATCTCCTTTGTAATATTAAACAGTGGGGTTTGCTTGGTTTAGAAATACAGGTTTTATTCTACAGCTTCAAAGTGTCAGATTTAGCCCAAATAGTAACAAAGCTGATGTTTAATAACTGCTGAGATGAAGGAATAGGGATACAAAAAACAAGTTTTAAAAAAGGCCAATTTTTAAGTGTCAGAGGCTTCCTTCCCCGAATGGAAAACAAAGCCTAACTTATGTAGTTGCATTTTTCCAGGTACAGAATTAATCCCCGTCCCTCAGCTTTGCTAAGTTGACTTACATCACTGTTATAAAGACAGTAGGGTTTTTTCAGTGAAACCGGCTTTCAAATGCCATGTAAACATGTTTGCTGTTGAAAGTCTACACCATACCTGACCTTGGAAGTGCTTTGTGTTGGCCTGAGAACAAAGAAGTGCAATGTTTTGCTTTCCAGCCCAGATATCCTACACTTTGAAAAGCACTTAAAAATGTAAATGAGATAATAAGCTCTCCTGCAACAATGTGGGTGAATTGCAGCTGTATAAAAGGAACATTCATTTGATTTAGTTAGGAAAAAAATGGAAAGGTTCCTAAAATAAAATCATATTGAAATGTTTTGGTTGCACACAGCATTGAGAGACATGAAGGAAAATAATGGCATTGAGACCACGCTGCTGAAATATTACGCTCAGATTTTGGGACCTCGAGTGGAGCTGGTGGATGAGTCCATTGCTGTCACTGCAACACATGAAATGTTTGGGCGGATATGAAACAAGAAAGTAGCATTTGAATTGCATTTCTAGGTAAGTGCTATTTTTGTCCCTATTATTCTATTATCACCAGTGAAATGGTTAATGACATTTATATACACACACACATATATATATATATATATACACGCTTCAAACTCAACTCTGCTCATGGTGACTTGGATGCTTTGGAGATAAGAAAGCATCACGCGGGTTAAGGAGATGCTGGAGGGATGCATGGGACCGGAGGAATCCAGCCCGAGAGCTGGGTGCCAGGCTGAGCACTTTATATAAAATAAAATAAAACAACTTGTAAAGCGTATAGTTTTGACAAGGAGCCATAGAGAGACAAAAAGGTATGATGCCAGCATGACAAAATCCCTTTTCAAGGCAGGAATAAATTTTTGGCATTAGTTACAGGGCTTAATCTAAATCAACTAAAAGCTGGGAAGAGAAAGAGTTCTAAGAATCACATGAACAAGTATGAAATGGGAATATAGGAAGGATTTAGTCTTTAATATTTGAAAACTGACTTGATTATCCTTTAACTACAGGATGTAAGTCTTGGATTCCCTGAAAAAACATTCAGTTCTGGAAGAATTACATAAACAGAAATAATAATTATTTTTAATTACTCGGTATTGGCTATTACTGTTCAGATACTGCATTCACAGAGGTGCGATGTTTTGCTTCTTCACCTTGAAATAATTTCCCACTTTTGGTGTGTTCCAAGGCAGGGCTGGATTCGTGCTCCCATCACATCAGTGGGAAGCCTGGGATCACGCTGATCTGTCTCTCTGGTACTGAAGGTTGAATCCCTGAGTGACAGCCATAAGGAAAGGAAAATCTTCTAGAAAATGTTAAAACCCCAACATCATTTTTCCCTTTGAAACAAAAAGTGTGAGCAGGAAAGTCACTGCTGGTCGTGATCGGATTATGCCAGGTAATGGCAGAGTCTTTCTGAAATAC